TTAGAAAAAATCAAATTCTATTTTAAACATGCTTACTGGCTTTTTAAATCTCCTTATTAGTTTCTACCACTCTTACGATGGACATACTAAGATAAAATTCTTATTATCTTCACTTAAGTCTTTTACGTAGGTTAAAAAAAAAAGACTGACCCTGGATAGGACCTACTTCATCTCCAGTTGGGGGCCTTTCTGGAATCAGTGAGAAGGTGGGAAGACACACACGCAGCCACTGAAATCCCATCACAAGGCTGACTGCTGCTGAGTAGCCGCACCACCTGCTTCCCCTTCTCTCCACAGAGCTTTAGAGCTGAAATAGACCCCTGTTGCAGGGAGTTGCCCAGGTCACACCATCATCCCATGGCAGGGCTGAATTTTGAAAACCCCAACGGTCAGACTCCAGAGATTAGAACCAAATCCACATTCTGCATAAATGAGGAGTTTCGTGGAGCTTTACTACTCTCTGAAAATGTATCTTATGTGGGAGGTTGGGGAGTGGGTTTTTAATTATAGACCACTATAAAACCAAAAGTCCAAACCCGTTGCCATCGAGTCAATTCCGACTTACAGTGACCTTGTAGGACAGAGTAGAACTGCCCCATTGAGTTTCCAAGGAGCAGCTGGTGGATTTGAACTGCTGACCTTTTGGATAGCAGCCAAACTCTTAGCCACTGCACCACGAGGGCCCCACAGACCACTGTAGAAATGTACTCTTACACCTTTTTTGTTCTTTTCTGACTCCTTTTCTGTCTTTTCTCTTTCTGAAACACTTTATTATAATAATCTGCTATGAGTCAAGTTTTGATTTTCTGGTTGTCTCCCACTACATCCTGTCCTCTGAATAATTCAAAATAATTCATTCATTCTTAGGACTCTTATAATCAATCAACTCCTAAGTCCATGTCATCAATTCCTTCTTCTTATTAAAACAATACTACTACTACTGTCATAGGGTTATGATGTTGATTAAATGGGATAATGCAGATACCTTAGTAAATAATATATACTCAATAGAAGCTGTTATTCTATTTTTACATGCTTCTTGGACTTTTCCGTTTAATCTCCAACACACTAATCACCTTTCCTTCCAAAACTGGCTTCCTGTCCTAACTTTCACCATTATTCTCCCAGTTTTTCAAGCTTGAAGAATTGAGTCTTCTGACTTTGCTTATTTCATCTTCCTTGTTAGTCTACAAATTCTATTTCTTACAAAATATTCCTCTTGCTCCTTATTGGTCCTTCTTCCTAGTCCCAGTTACATCCCATGCCTGAATTACTACAATTTCTTAGCTGCCTTCTATGTGGGGCAGCCTTCATACTGTTGTCTGTTTCCTAAGCATCGCTTTCCTCATGTCCCTTGTCGGAAACGGCCAATAGTTTTCTACTCTAAATTGACCTTCGAGGCCCTCTTTAATCTAGCCCTATTCTATCTCTGCGACCTTATTTCTCACTCCTAACACACTTCCTCCTGTCTCCTCCATTGTCCTATGAACGTAACACATCTGTTTATACAATCTCTGGCCTTTACCTTTGTTTTCTTTCTATTCAAATCCCATTCATAATTTCACGTGCAGCTCAAATTTAATGTGGTTTATCTCCTTTTCTGAATTAAAAAAACCTGTTTCATAAATAGGTCCCGCGATTATTTCCTGTCAGAGCTGTAACAAGTATGTTGGTTTTCTAAATGGATTCTACTTGAAGGTAGGATCCTGGTCTTTATTTCTATTGTAGTCCTTAAGGTATACAACCCCTTAGAACAAAGGTACTTAATGACCAAATTCTTCTTTTTCATGGCCTAAAATTTAGTGTCGATACTCATAGGCATTTTCACCAGCAAGAGAAATAAACTCAAATTAGTTTATTTTTTACATGTTAGGAATTCTGGTAAAAGATTTATTGCGGGGAAATTTTAAGCAAGAGGCTAAAATATTTTTAAATTATAAATGAATTTTAATTATACATGCTGATGCACTTCTAAATAGTCATAGCAGGAATGCAAATATCTTTTATTCAAGTTCTTAAATTATTGATCAAAGTCATTTTCAAAAATAGCTTATGACTTTTAGGCACTTAACACAGCTTCTACAGATAAATAGGACACTACGCAATGAAAATGACAATGGAAGAGTATCTTTGATATTCTCAAAATTGTTACCTAATGTTATTTTGTCACAAATATACTCTAGCCCATAAAAAAGACTCCAGCCAGTTTAAATGTGGATTGCACTTAAACAATGTCATGAAAAAGATTCGAAGAGCTTTACTTGCAATATGTTAAAATTTAGGTTATTTACATGTTGTTTATGACTCAGCAGATTGCTCCATGGTGCTACAGGCCACCTCAGAAACCACTAGCCAAGAGGAATAAACTACGACGTAATGTAGGAGGTATTTTCCCAAGAATTTTGTAATTGGGGGAAGTCAATAATTATCTGTCGAATAATTTTTTAAATATCCACATTAATTATGCTAGGAAAGCTATCTTACTTAACTCTGTTTTTGCCTTGATGTTATTAGACCGTATGGCAATGAATTTTATTAAGCACACCTCCCCAAAATGGACAGAAGCACTAGCCACAGGTTTAAATTACACAGATAAAAAAATTATTGGTGGGAAAAATATATCAAGCAAAATACATACTACAATATTAATGAATAATGTAAAAGGATTTATTTCTGAAGATAATGGGATTGACAAATTCTCATTTCCTCATGAACGCTACATAATGCATTTGTTTCCATTTATGAGAAACTCATAGTGCACAACTCTATAATCTTAGATTTGGCTAAATAAACCCCATTAAATAACTTTTGCCTAATTTTTGTGTCAGGCTGTTATGGATTGAAATGTGTTGCCCAAAAATGAGAGTCAACTTGGCTAGGCCATGATTCCCAGTATTGTGTGGTTGTCGTTCATTTTGTGATCTGATGTAATTTTCCTGTGTTGTAAATCCTAATCTATTGCTGTGGTTAACGTAAGATTAGGTTATGTTAAAGAGGATTAGAGTGGGATGCAACACCCTTACTCAGGTCACAGCTCTGATAGGATGTAAAGGGGAATTTCCCTGGAGTGTGGTCTGCATCACCTTTTATCTTACAAGAGATAAAAGGAGAGACGAGCTAGCAGAGAAAAGGGGGACCTCATACCACCAAGAATTGCTGGCAGCAGTGTGTCCTTTGGACCCGGGGTCCCTTTGCTGAGAAGCTCCTAGACCAGGGGAAGATTGATGACAAGGACCTTCCCCAGGAACCAACAGAGAGAAAGCCTTCCCCTGGAGCTGGCGCCCTGAATTCAGACTTCTAGCCTTTTAGACTGTGAAAGAATAAATTTCTGTTTGTTAAAGCTATCCACTTGTGGTATTTCTGTTATAGCAGCACTAGATAACTAAGACACAAGCTATGACAAACACAGTCTTTTCTTAATTTATATGCTTTTTTAAAAAGATTAAAGCAAAAATATTTTTAAAAGGAGCTCTTTTGGGGGAAACATTTCTCTTTTTTCTACTTTTACAAGAAACAAAATCTACTTCAAAATTAAGTGAACAAGGTAAGCCAACCTTTATTTGACATAATTTGCATAGCTAAAAATGAGATTCAGCACCAGAAGTACTTTCCCAAATAATTGAGGCAATGTATGATAAAACTATGTAAGTTACTTTGTTCAAAAAAACTCGAGCTCAAGCAAAGATGTCTTAAGTGTAAAATCTAATGCAAAGTAAAGAGGCAAGGGAAGGCATTGTGACTATGACAAGGGTGTACTAAGGACACGATGACAGAGATGCAGTAGATACACCCTCTCCTTGGAAAGCCTGGGGGGGAAGAACTTGCATGTACAGCTGAGGAAACAAGATGCCTACTACTGGCCCATTATCAGATAATAGAACCCTTCTAGTCTGATTGCTGTGGCATATTTGATAACCTAGTTTACAATTAACCTATGATTTGGTGATGGGGACCATTGACAATAGAATAAAATTATGCATATTTATTGTCGTTTCCAATGTCATATGGCCTTTGTTATTTTAGAACTAGTAAGTCCTTTAATTCTGGAAACATTTTCACTGGTTCCACTTGTTCTCTGGCAATATATAATCTGCAATTCACTAACTGAAATAGTAAGTCTATTTCTCCAGAAAGGCTTTTATTCTACACCTCTTTTTTCTTTTCCACATGAGGATGCTAGCTCTCTAAGGATCTTAATACTTTGCGTCTATGAACACCCAAGTCTCAATCTATAGTTACTGATAATCGGGAAAGGCCTGCAGTTTTTTTTAACCATGTGAGAAAATTATAGAAAAAGTTCATTTGTATTTATTGAAAGTATAATTTTTAATATATTTGATATAACCCTGGTGGCCCAGTGGTTAAGACCTCAGCTGCTAAGCAAAAGGCCGGCAGTTCGAATGCACCAGGCGCTCCCTGGAAACCCTGTGAGGGGGAAGCAAGCAGACAGTCACAAGGTAATTGAAGTAATCTGGGTGAGGAATACCAAGGGATTGAATTTAAAATTATTTTGAAGGCACAGCAAACAGGATTTCCTGCCAGTTTGGATGTGGGGTGTGAAAGAAAGAGAGGGATCAAGGATGACAAGGTTATTTCTAGTGTAGCCAAATGGAGGAACTGAGTTGTAATCAACTGAGATATGAAATTGTGGGAGGAGTATGTTTGCGCGTTGGGAGGGGATTAGGGGTTCAGTTTTGAACATGTTATGCTTAAGATGTTTGGTTAGGCAGCCAAGAAGAGACACCAAAACCAGGTGGATCAGGGGTTGAAGTCTTGGAAATACTCTAGGCAGGGGACATAAATTAGATTCATTGCATATGGATGGGTCTTAAAGTGAATGCAGAGAAGTAGACCAAGGCCTGAGCATCCTGTAACATATTTTATCACAGAAATCGAACAAATGTCAGGTTCTTCTTAGGTTTGTAAAAGGGGGAGGGGGAAAGACCAACTATCATTATCAGGTGATGTAACTCTAAGAAAGACAGGTAAGAACAAGCAAATTATAAACATAATTTAAAGATAGAATTTATTCTCTGATGGTTTACTCATGCAAACTGCACATAAAAGAAAATAGTACAGTTTGTGTAACATTGCAAATATAAGGACTCAAAATGCTAGGTACAGAAGGTAGTGTGACATCTTGAAAGTCAAAATGGAGTTTGTGTTTACACAACTAATAATGATTTTTATTTGCTGAGTACAGATCAGTTTACAATGAAAGTTTTGCTAACGTTGGTAAGCTCATTAACCATTTACATGACTTCTTACATCTATGTAGTTTTATTTTACAGTTGCAAGAATTCTGTTATCAAAGAACTTTAACTTGCATAAATAATACGATGAAAGAAATATGCACTGAAAGACTTAGGAGAGTGAACCAATGAGGCTTTTCCTAACCCATCAAAACTATAATAAAAATAATTTTCCAGAATTCATATTTTGTGCCTTTGAGATCAACTCCTTAGCATAACTGTGGCAAAATCATGATTAGAAATTGGTTACTTTAAAATTATAAAATCAGTTAAAAATAAAAAACTTTAGAAGTAGAATTATCAACTAAAAAGTCTCTCATTTTTAATAAGCCAAAAAATAAAATTCCTATTATCTTCATACTTAAAAGTCATGAAATGTCATTTGTATAATTTGAATGTTTCCCAGGTTGGAACTTAGGCAGGTGGGATAGTTCCTTGAATTATCAAGGATATTCCATACAGGCTTTTAAAATGTCAGTCTCATTAGGAGATGGCACTGAGACTTTAGCAAATGGTGTAGTATGGATGCAGAACAAACTACACAACTTACTATAAATGTATTACAGATATATACATAATGGAATCCTGCTAGAATGCCAGAAGTTGCTACTGGGTAGGACTCATAGCTATTTTACAAAGTTTTCGTACACACATCTACTACTTTTTAAATTTTTTTTTTAACAATTTAATCTATTTTAAAATATTGTACTGTATTTTGAACATAACTGCAGAATAAAAATTGATAATGGCACATTAGAAAACTCAGTATCCCACAGATGATTGGATAATGAGAAAAGTGTACCTACAATCATCTCATCAGAAACAAACTACATCATGGAATGTTCGTTATCCAAGCCTGCACAGAAACGACATCTTAAACTGCAGTCATCTATTGGCCAGCATCACACTGAAGGCATCGTTAAACATTCAAGCAAAGATTGCTGGCATGAACTACTGACAGATGCACACTCACACACACACACTCTCACTCGTTCTCGCCTCTCATGTTATAATTACATTGTTCTAAAGATAGATACTGATTTTTTTCCACGAGAAACGTTATCAAAATTTGCTACTAAAAGATGACAGTGCTTTCACGAGAATAAGTACAAGTTAGCTTGCAAGTACAAGACAATGGGGGGAGACAGTCTTAAATTTTCTAAGTAGTAATTTTAGGCTTTTCTGGCAACCATACCATACATGATTATGCATAAATTTCTCAGTTTGTAATCTAAAATCTGAAAAAGAGGAGGCTAATTTAAATTATTAGATAACAGATAACCCTGTATTGTACATTATGTAATTTCATATTTTTTTAGTCTCAAAACATAGGATAAATACTGAATTTAAGACTTGAAAAATAAAATTATTTTTGAAATGATGAAGGATTCCAAAATTCATGTCTACTTAAATCTTACCAAAGAAAAAAAAAAAAACCCACTATTAATGACCTTGATCTAGTTTAAGAATGTGCATAAAAGCACTGTATGTCTTTTACTATGTTTTCATTCTCTTAAAAAAAAAAAGTGTTCCCCAACGTTCTTCCTTTTGCATAATGTGCAAAATAAAAGGCAAAAAGATTAAAAGCAAATTTCTATCTTTCTCTCACCTACTGCTTTATCACCTTGTTAGCATTACAAGGTCAACAGGGACTATGCAGAACTTTGGTATAAATGATAAAACACTAGCATCACAGTTGAGGGAGGTGGTCAAAAGAAATGGAAGTGGGAAGAGAGATTCAGTAACACCCCCATTTATTAAAACACCACCAAATTAAAAGTGAAATAAACCACAATGAATTATAATACAATTTACACACTGAGCACAGAAAAAAATTAATAAATCTAACAATATTTATAAAAAAAAAAAAAAAGCAAAATCAGTCTTTTTCCAGAGACTAAAAAAACTGTTGTTCAGTCTGATCAACTGCTGCTACACCAACTTTAGAGCCAAATTTAATTTCAAGTAAAAAAAAAAATTTACAACCACAGATTTCGCATAAATGGAAACTGGTCTTTCCTTGATTTCCCTTTGAAGTCACTAATAAGTATCTAAAACTGATGCGCTGCGGGTTTCTAATCAACTTCCTGAGGGCTGTGACTGGGAGGAAGGAGCCATGACAATCTGTGAAAGCGCAGGCTCTGTACTCTGGTCTGCCATCTGGGTGAGGACTGAAGTGGCTACAGCTTCTGCCTTGGACGTTGAACTGACTCCATTGGATGTGCTGACAGAACTATGCTGTATAGCTTCACCATGTGGACTACTCGGCACTGAAATGTCTTCTGAACTGTCATCTTTATCAGCAGCTGAGTGGAAAAAAGAAAAATTACTCATTTTCTTAAATATCTGTAAGAATGTATTAGTAGACTCAGTCAATGAACAGAGTATAAAGTTAGACGGTATTTTACAAAAGAGATTATTCAGTTTAAGTTAGTACGACTACAACTGAGCAACTGAAAAGGTAGTTGGTTATAAGTCAGGACGTAGGCAATTTTACCTGCAACAGGTCAAATGAAGGCACAACCATACACATGGAAAAATCTGGGCACCCAGTACCTCACAGAATAGAGCTAAAGAAATATTTGCTAAATAATGTTAAGAAAGAAAGAGGGTGGGAATTTGAGAGATAGTCTCTTATAGATATAATCTGACAGTTACCAAGCTCTTATAACATTTCTATAAACCAGTGCATTAAAGAAAACTAGTTCTGTTTGCCTACACGTCATTCTTCTTAAAAGATAAAAAAAAGAATTTATAACCACATGCATAAACAAAATGGACTCTTACATACAAGTTATATTCTCAAATTATTCCCTCTGCATTTTCCAGAACTATATTTATTCTGGCTGATCTTCCATCTATTGCAGCAATGGATGATTCAACACCTGATTCCAATGATGCATACACGTGAGAAGAAGCAATATTTAGATTCTAAATGCCACCAGCTGTTATAGTTGCATGAATTAACTGGGATTCAAATAAAAAATCCATATAAAACTCTAGATACTGCAATTGAAAAGATATTCAGGAAAGGGCATTCTAAATATTTAGGAAAATAAATCTACCAATTTTTATGCCTAAACAACAAAGCTCCTACATCTTTCTTATTTTAGCAGAATGTAATCAAGTAATTTCAGTAAGTGAAAAAGCCAATATTATAGGACTTACACACATAGCATATGTAAGTTATGAAGCACAACGATAACATGAGACCTCTGAACCAGATCCCAACTTAAGAAAGAGAACACTGCCAATAACAGTGACGCTTCCTGGGAGTTCTTCCTGTCCACCAAAGGCTGTCACCAAGGGTGACATTATTTTCATTATTGATGACCTACTGACTAGACAGGACAAAGGCAGAAAATTTCCAAAAAACAAAATGTCTTATTTCTTGCATTCTCATAACCCAGTACAATACTATACAGTCACTAAAAACCTATTACTAATCTGGATTTTCCATCATTTTATTTAACTTTAGAATATAGTATATGACCATCTATACACTTAAAAAAATCTTTATAAATCTATTGCTTAGAGTGAAAATTTAGCTTGTATTTGCTGAGTCTGGATAATAGAGATAAAACTGTTGGGATAATCCAAGAAATGATTTAATAAAATTAAAAAAATGCAGATATTATGAATTGAATGCAATTTAAGGGAAGAGTTGTTTCCTTCTAATTTTATAGACTCATTCATATATTTCCTTTTGAATTATCAAAATTCGAGAAAGCTTTCCTGTTTTAAGAAAATCACGTATGCATAATGCTGTCCTCAGTAGCTTCCACAGGAAATTATGTTGTTATGTCAGATGGGAGCCATAATGGCCTCCTCCCTGCAGCAATCATTGTTAATATAAACTCCAAACATATTTCTATATGTTCCAATTTACTCCACACAGTGTCTCACCATCCTGTCAAAATGACTAGGTATCAAAGGACTGAGTGAGATTTATATGCTCAAAACTGACAAAAATCAGTGTTTTAAATATATATGACAACAGAGTTGCTAAATCTCTGGAACCTTTTAAATTAAAAAATATTGCTCATTCTGATGAAACTGCTTACAATGACTACAAGTAAAGATGGTAGCCATTAAGTTTTATCATGAGCACCTGAGGAACTGTTTGTATCCAATACAAAATGTTTCTTTCTTTTGAATTACTGACACTGGCAAATTAAAATGAAGTGGATACATATGGTTGAAACAATCTTCACATTTACAAATATCCTGAAATCACTAAATCATAAAAATGAAAGCTGTGGGTTATATATTATGAATGCTGCCTAATGCATTCCCAGCTCTGTTGTTATTTGTTACAAATTTGTGTACTATGGACAAAATTGGCCATTTATTCAAGAGTTAACAGCTGGTTCTAACATTGTGCATCTTATCAAAAAAGAAGGACATTACAAGAAGGAAAAAGCACAATTAACCTCTAAAGTGCTGAAAACAGAAGAATCTCATTTTTGGGGAAAAAATTTAAGAGGAAACTTACAAGTAGATAATTTAAATACCGTTCTATGTTAGCATTCTTATGAGTAACTAGAACACTCAACATAAAGGCTCAAAACAATAAAAACCCTGCACTACGCTGACATTATCTTAAGAAAGAACAGTAGGATCTGGTACTGTAAATAGATACTGTATATCCTTAAGTGAAGATAGCAGATTTTTTTAAAGGCTAAAATCTTATCATCAATGAATGGAGGCTGCAAAGGAAGCAGTTATTTCACTCTGTCAATCTAAGATAAAGCGGTACCCTGAGAAATAAACAAAATATCATCAGTACTTACGGTATATTTTAAATTATTAGCTAACCCTTTTTTGTTAACTTATGGTAATGCCTAGAAAAAAGCCAGAAGTAGGAAAATCCAAAAAAACCTCTAGATTCTAAGAAGTATACCCTCCTGTTCCAGAATAACCTTGCAGAAATTCTGATTTTAATCTTAACTATCAGAACCACAGCCTACATTTTTTTAATGGCAGCTCGGTTCACACTGGCGGTATTTCACTGACGTAGCCTAAGGCTATAGGTAATGGAACATTACTCACTATGATAGCCAGATTTCTTCTGCATGGCAGTTACAGGGCAATCTTTATGAGCCAGAAGAAGCTGTTTCAGCTGTGCCACTTCATTTCTCAGCAGGGTGACTTCACTCTGGAGAAGAAACAACTATGTACCTTACACCAGCATCAGACTAAACATATTTACTATTTAAAACAAGCAATGATTAAGATATGAAAATCCGACATCTTTAACATCAAGGAATAAAGAAAATATGCTGCTTAAATATGTTTAAGCAGTATACTTCAGTCTTTATAGTTTAAGCATTTATCCAAAAATTTGCAACTTTGTATAAAAACTTAAATATGATACTACCACAACTGGTTTTTACATTACCATTTGCCTTGGGACTTCTTAAATATTACAGGTTACCTGTACAAGGTGTTTTTATTTTAGATGTTAACATGCTCTTTCGATTATTTGAAAAATTAGAAACACCAAGTGAGTCAAGATGAATTTTCATCGACTCCATTCACTTGAAAATAAAAAATTCATCACGAAAACTCAATTAAGCAAGTTTCTAGTTTCCTAGAAACTAGGAAAAATCACAGAGGGAACCACAATAACCAAAGAATCATCAAAACTGAAAAGTCACTGCAAGGGACTGTGTTGGCTACTGGAACCAATGACACTTAGATCGACTGTCTAAATGGCTTAGATGCCTTTGATCCAGGCAATCTGTACACGTCTAAATTTAAATCTGGTAAGACAACAGTGATTTGTCTTACTCCTTATGACAGAATGAGTACTTCAGCCTTTGTCTGGGATGCATTAACCTGATAAATTCTATAAAAAGTTCCAAACTGACTGAGTCCAATTAATTCCTCCGGATCACTCCCAAATACAAAAAACACAGTAAGTTAATGACTATTACCAATACTCAAGCATTAGAAATAATATACATTTAATAAATTGATAACATAAAAATATTAATTTACAAACACGTCTATTTATTTGGACTTACACTAATCTTAACCATTCAGACTTCATCCATGAACCCAAAAGTAAATTAGAAAATATAGGAAACAGGTGTATGGGTCAAATGGTTCCTCATAACTCCAGTAACAACTAAGTACATTGTATTAAACCACAGAACAAAGATTGATGCTCACAATAACTCAGAACTATGAATAAAAAAGTTAATTACATTTAGAATAGTGTACTTGAGACAAGAATGAGTATGTGTAGAAGCAGGGGTGGGTGGGGAGTTACTGATGAATGGATACAGAGTTTCTGTTCGGGGTGATAAAAATGCTCTGCAAGTAGACAGTGGAGAGGGTTACAACACTGTGAATGTACTTAATGCCATTGAATTGTACACTTGAAAATGGTTAAAATGGTAAATTTTATGTTATATATGTTACCACAATAAAAATAAAAGAATGGATGTATAGTGACTGAAGTACTAAAGGCTAAAATGTAACACAGTTTTCCTTCAAAGGATAAGATGTTGTGTAGAAAACACACTTCTATGGAACCTGCAATCACCAGTGTTAACATGGTTAATTATAGGCCTTTATTAACAACACTACTGATGAGAAACCATGTTATAAATAATCCAATATATGTTATCCAAAAAGTTTTCTTCTCTCTCTGCCTGATTCCATGTTAGCTTGTATTTTGAGACTTACTTCTACAATTTCTCTCATTAATTTCTGTAATATGAGACAGGGCTGGATATGTATTTTTAGTCAAGAAGAAAACATCCTTCATAATCTGGCACCTGTAACCGCCCTGATTTTCAACTTTCTCTGCTCTCCCAATATACTCTATCCTTTAGTCAAACCAAAATTCTAGTAATATCTCATGCTTGTCATATACTTGATGCCTTCATATTAGTTTGAACTATATACAATAACCAATACTTAATGTTTTTTTAACCTATAAAAACAGCAATTTCGTATTGAAAACTATACAAATAATGTCTTCTCTACCTAAAAAACACTTTCCCTCTCTTCTTTGCCTTGCAAATTATTCCACTCATCTTTAAGAGTCAACTCAGCATTGTATACACTTACACTGAAAAAGAAGTTAGGCAACCACTTCTGTATTCCCACTACATACCTTACAGAGTTATATATTATACACTGGATTGTAACTTCTGGTATACTTGTTTGACTCCTCTGCCTGGCTGGGAATTTCTTAATAGCAGGGATAATCTTTTATCTCCCTATCCCCAGAATGTAGCACATGGCCTGGCATGCATTAAGTAGAGAGTTAATTTTAGAGAGGACTATGGAAATTCTACCGGGTCACTATCAGTTGGAATTGATTTGATGTCAACAGTTTGGTTTATGGTAATTCTAAGGAGCCCTGGTGGCGCAGTGGTTAAGTGCTCAGCTGCTAACCGAAAAGTTGGTGGTTCAAACCCACCAGCCACTCTGCAGGAGAAAGACGTGACAATCTGCTTCAGTAAAGATTACGGCCTTGAAATCCCTTTGGGGCAGTCCTACTCTGTCCTACAGGGTCACTATGAGTTGGAATTAACTTGATGGCACACAACAACAACACTGGTAATTCTGTGTCCAGGGGATGAAAAACATCAAAGAAGGTGAATGAAATAGCTTAAACAATATGAAATAGGTCAGAGGTCCTAATTTCATCATTTATACCAACAACTTCACTAACAAAGCTATACTAATTTTCTCAGTTATGAAATGAAAATTGGTATCTTTTACAGCATCATCTTCAATGACACAATTTTAAGTCACAACTGCCTTCTGTCCTAACCTAAACACTCTATACAGACATTTATCATAAACCATATTATGAAACAAAATGTTGTACTAGATAAAATTCCTGAAAGCAGTTATGAGCTGATTATCTAATCGATATTAAATTGTTGATTTAAATAGTTCTGTAAGTATTAAATATAATAATATTCTCATATACACAAATAAAATTTAATACAAACATTGAAATTCTCTCTTTAAAATAGGCAGATTTGAAACTGATAAATGGAACATCAGTTTCTGTATCTCTAACTTAACGGTTGGTGGTATTATGACTGTTATGTAATTAGACTACCTGGTTCATTAACAAATAAACAAATGTGAAGATGCTACTAGCTAACAATGAGTAATGAACATTAAGGGCTGAACGATAAGGCACTTAATTCTTTCTTTTTTTAAATATTTTATTGTGCTTAAGGTGGAAGTTTATACAGCAAATTAGGTTCCCATTTAACAATTTCTACACAAATTATTATTCAGTGATACTGGTTACATTTTTCACAGTGTGTCATCATTCTCATTCATTCCATTCTCGCTGTATCATTTCCAGTACTCTAGTTTCCCTGCCCACTTACCTTCTCTTCTTTGCTTCAGAGTAATTTTTGACCATTTGGTCTCCTATAGATGATCTTTAAAAGGAGCTCATTACTCATGGGTGATATGCTTTGTTTTATGAGCCAATCTTTTATTTACCTAAAAGGTGACCTCAAGAAATAATTTCAGTTTAAGGTTTAAAGAGTATCTCAGGGCGATAGTGTCAGGGAGTCCTCTAGTCTCAGCTGGTCCAGTAAGTCTGGACTTTTTAAGAATTTGAATTCCATTGCACATTTTTCTCTCGATCTATCAGGATCCATCTATTGTGGAAGACACCTGATTCTTGATACAACTTATATCTGTATAAATCAATTTTAACTGGAGTCACACTTAACAAACAACTGAAAAGACTAGAGAGAAGGAAATTAAAAATGAAAACTTCATGTATTTTTAGATAAATGTAATTCATATATATTCAAAAAGATATAATATTCAAGTATGTTATAAATTATATTGATCCAAAATTCACATACCCAATCTTTCCCCTCTAATTTTTAAATTACAGAAATGATAAGCAAAGAAAATAAACAAAAAAACCAAACTCAAGGTATGCTTAATACAAATTCAGTCCGTCTTTTATACCATCCTTATCTAAAATGTTTTACAATGGTAATGGATTTTCCTAATGATGATCTTGAAGCTACTTTTGGATGAAAGCTTAAAATCTAAGGTTAAAATTGCACAGTTTGTATTATCACAAATATCTTAGTATTTGATTTCTTTAAAAGCTGGTACAGACTGAAAGCAGCAAATGTGTAAGGAGCTGGGACTGACAGAAATACTTCAAAGCAAGCAGAGTTGTGGTATGGAATAAAAATGAGAGTGGATCAAGCTTTGAAGCAAGTGGATTTAGCTGCGCTGCATAGCCCTAAGTGTAAGCATATGCTAGTGGTCAAGATCAGATCAAACAGAGGCTGAAAATGGGAGAGGTATGCTGGTGAAGAGTATATAGTCAAATTAGGCAGAAGAAGATAGAAGTAGGGCAGCTTCTGTCATT